TCATCCTATACAACACCCTGAACTTACAGGCGCCGACGCTGACGCCCAAGCATCCAATATGGTTGCAGACATGTTCGTCAGCCTTAGAGGCGCGTTGGCGCATGCATTCGTCATCCAGGTGTGGTTGGGGGCGCATGTTGTCTCTCTACAACATGCCCAAGCACCGACCAACATACAAGTGCGACGACTGAACGCGGTTACCAGGAAACGGCAGGCCCCTCCCTAAGAAGATCGCCTACCAGGCGATGACCCCCACGGGCGAGGTTGACCTGCGCAGCGCCTCAGGTTACCGACGTTTGAGTGGAGATGCCGATGGCGAAGTCAATGGGTATGGTATTCGCGGGGCGAACCTGCTACGGCGCGGAAGCACGCCATCCAGTAAACCCGTCGTTCATTTGACCGATGCGCGCTGCAACAAGTCTTACCGCTCGCAGGTCCGCCCAAGCTATTCAGCAGAGTCACTGGCAGCAGCCCGCGACTTGGGGGACTGCTATCCCATTATCGCGATTCTGCACGAGCTCCACGCAGGGACGCTAACTCCCACTCAGTTGAAAGACACACTTGAGTTGGGTGGCCTGGGCATCAAGGTCATTTTGACCATAGATGCTGAGTCTGCTTTAAGTCCTTGTCAAGCAAAGACTTGAAGAAGCCGACTGAGTGCACCCTTTTCGGACACATCAGTTGGATACGACAGATGATGGAGCGAGGAATCGCGCACAGTATTCAATGGTGTGACACCCGTGATATGACTGCGGACGGTCACACCAAGGGGAACATCGACAGAAACATGCTCCTACAGGTCATGGGAGGCACGCAATCCTTCAAACATGGTTTAAACCGTCATACTCCCTATCGGGCGGGCCAGACATCTCGACCTGTAGCCGCCTGAGGTGTGCCCGTATGCACAGTAAAGTGCAGGCGAGGCAATTTGCGCGCGGGTCCACCTTCCTTATGGCCCCGCCCTTTTGCTGCCCTTCTGTGCATCGTAGCTGCTGTACCTGCTGTATAGAGGCGGCGGGTTCACGCTTCGCCCCCCCCCCCCCCGACTCTAAAGTGACTTGGGCGTTGCATGCGAGTGGGAACGAGCGTGCATCCGCGGCTGCTTGGCTCAAAGCGGCCAGCCGCCCAGATCTGACTACACCTCAGCGCGAGGTGTACCATTTGCCATCGATACCAAAACATATTGACATGGCTCGCTCCCTACTACTGGGGCTATCGTTACTACGGTACAACAGAGCGGGAGCTGGGCTTCGCCTAAGGCGGAGCTGCTGGTTGGGCCTCCCAACCTCCTTCAAACTCCTCCTCCCCATCCTCCCCCTCCTCCTCCTCCTCCTCCTCCTCCTCCTCCTCCTCCTCCTCCTCCCCGTTCCTTCTATTCCTCCTTCCTCCTTCGTCTCCCTCCCTCCCTTTTCCCCGTCGTCCTTCCCCTCTTTCCCCCTCTTTCACGTCACGATCGTCCTCGTCGTCGTCGTCGTCGTTTCCCGCCCCCGCTTTCTCCTCCTCTTCTTCCCTCTTATCTTCCTCGTCCTCCTCCTCCTCCTTGTCCTACTTCTCCTACGGTTCCTCCTTCTCCTCGCGTCCTCGCCGTCGTTTCGTAGATAGTGTGGCTCGAGCGGCGTGTTGGCTGCATGGTCGCTCCTCGCTTTGTTCGTTCTCTTCGGTGTCGCCCCCTCATGATGTGGCTTACGTGTTTGTCGATCAGCTGCTGCGAATACACTATGATGATGTTGGCGCGCAGTTCGATGGCACAGCGGAAGGCTCACGGCAACATTGTTACGCGCGTGGCCCGTTCGAAAACACAGCATCTCGATTGCGCAACATAAATGCCAGCGCGCGCAAATTCACAGACGAGGTGATCAAGACGTTTGGGCATAGTTGCTCGAGGTGTGCTGACCCAGCGCCGCATGATTCCAGCACCGCGCGCAGCGAATCGGAGTTCGTCGCCGCTGGCAGCGCGATGGGCATGGTGGATACGTTGCGTGCGTCCAGACCGACCTTACGATGCAACTTTTCAGACGAATTCGGATGGACACAAACGATGCGGACGATTACGAATATGATCGCGTCCGGTGCTTGAATTGGACTCGTTCCCCAAATCGCATCCTGAGCCTTTGTTCGGAACGCTATATCCTGATGGTGAGTGCCGTCGTGGAGAGTTTCATCTTGATGGTGAGCCTGATCTTGAAGCGCGGCCCCCAAGTGTAGTGCGCCCGTGTGGTCCTGATGAGGGTCTTCGCCCTGATGAGCCTGAACAGCGTCCTGGTGGGCCAGGGCCTGAGTTGCTTGGTCATGACGGTCAGCAGGGCCATGTCGAGCTTCAGCTCGGGGGGCTCCGTCTTTGTGGCTCTGACAACGCGTGTCTTCGCGAGCTCGGTATGCACTCTACCTGCGAAAATCTTCCAGGCGTACGCCTTTATGAGAATCGCGCTAGCGACCTTCGCCCTGTTGGCCTTCACGCGTGTGCTAGCAGTTCCTACGATGGCGTGCTGGCGGCGGTCAGGGCCCACGCGCGGGAGCGTCGGCTTCTCGCGACTGGCGCTGACGATGTTGACGATACCCAGCAAGTTCTCGATATTCGTTTCCTCGAGCGGCTGGCCGCGAACGAAGTGCATTGTTGTATCTTCTCGCCGTGGGCCTAAACAGGCTAATCAGCGAACGCTGGAACGGTTCGCAGCGAGCAAGGGTTTTCGCTGCAGCCCAAATCCTCTTGACTGCTTGGAGCCTGCGGCTCTCCTCGATCCGTCTGTTGCGTCTGCTTGGCCCGCCCTCGCCCCCTCCTTAGCGGCCTGTGCCATTATTTGTCTGCCTCCTCCTCCTCCTCCTCCTCCTCCTCCTCCTCACCCTCCTCGTCCTCTTCCTTCTCCTCCTATTCCTCCTGCTCCTCCCATTCCCCCAGAAGCGCCGGAAGACCTCCTCCTCTTCCTCCTCCTCCTCCTCCACCTCCTCCCCCTCCTCGTCGTCCCCTTCCTCCAAAAGCGCCCGAAGACCTCCTCCCTCCTCCTCCTCCTCCTCCTCCTCCTCCTCCTCCTCCCCTTCCTCCTCCTCCTCCTCCTCCTCCCCTCCTCTCCTCCTCCTCCTCCTCCTCCTCCTCCTCCTCCTCCTCCTCCTCCTCCTCCTCCTCCTCCTCCTCCTCCCCCTCTTTAAACTTCACCCCCTCGTCGTCGTCGTCCTCCTTCTCCTCCTCCACATCATCCGCTTCCTCCTCCTCCTCCTCCTCGTCCTCCGCTTCCATCGTTTGTTTCTCCTCCCGCGTCCTCCTCTTTTTTTTACCATATTTCTCCTCCTCCGCCTCCTCCGCTCCTCATCCTCCTCCTCTTCCTCCTCATCCTCCCCCTCCCCCTCCCCCTCCCCCCCCCCTCCCCCCGTCTCCTCGTCCTTCTCTGCCTCCTTCCTTCTCCCTCGTCCTCCGCCCCGTCTCCCTCCTCCTCTTCCTCCTTTCCCTCCACGTCCTCGCCCCCCCTTCTCCTGCTCCTCCTCCTCCTGCTCCTCCTCCTCCTCCTCCTCCTCCTCCTTTCCTCCTCATCGTCATCGTCATCGTCATCGTCCTCCTCCTCTTCCACCGCTTCTTTCTCCTCCCCCCCTCCTCTTCATCGTCGTCGTCCTCCTCCTCTCCCTCCGCCTCCTTCCCTCCCCCTCGTCCTCCTTCGCCTCCTCCTCATCCTCCTTCTCCTCCTTCCCGTTTTCCTCGTCCTCGTGTTCCCCCTCCTCTTCCTCCTTCGCATCCTCCTTCTCATGAGTAGCCCCTCCCTGTCGCACCCCGATGCAAATTTTTAGGGCGGGCCAGGCGTTCCGCCTGAACAGCTTCGCAGATGGAGGGCGGGTCGTTTTCAAAATGTGGCTCTCGCCTTAGCGTGGCGCACATTCGTTTCAAACATGTGCAAGAGTTTCACGGGCTGAGACCGGGTCGTTTTCAAATTGTGGTCCTCGCTTTAGTGCCGAGCACATTCGTTGCCCACATTTGCAAGAGCTTCACGGATTGATGGCGAGTCGTTTTCAACATGTGGTTTGCTTCAGCGCCGTGCACATTCGTTTTCAAGTTTGCAAGGGTTTCACGGATTGAGGGGGGGGCGTTTTCAAAATGTGGCTCTCGCCTTAGCGCCCCGTGCATTCTTTTTTCAGAGTTTGCGAGAGTTTCACGCATTGAGGGCGGGTCGTTTTCAACATGTGGATCTCGTTATAGCGTTGCGCACATCCGTTTCAATATTTGCAAAGGCTTCACGGATTGAGGGCGGTTCTTTTTCAAATTGTGGTTCTCGCCTTAGCGCCTCGCACATTCGCTTTTAACAAGTGTAAGAGTTTCACGAATCCCCATCGTCAACGTATCAGAAATGGTGGTTTGGACAGATTCTGGACTACGCGGGCACAATAGTTAAGTTGCTTCTCTGTGTTGAAGTCCTAGGAATGGCGTTCTGGCACGATGCAGGATCGTCAAAATGAAAAAGTCAAGTTGATCCGTGACGTTGGAATCACGAGGATAATGTTTTGGCATGCTTCAGGGTCTTCAGACGAGTGTCTTCCAACGAGGCAGTTCCATTAATGGAACTGATACGTTGTAGGGGCCTGTGAAGAGGGAGCTTGGAGGGAGGGTTTACTTCAACATCGTTGACGACACTTGGGTCTACACTGGTCCTCCTCTTCCTCTTCCTCTTCCGCCTCCTCCTGCTCCTTCCCTTACCCTTCGTCCTTCGCCCCGTCCTGCTCCGCATCCCCGTCCCCGTCCTCCTCCTCCTCCTCCCCCTCCTTCTCCTCCTCCTCCTCCTCCTCCTCCTCCTCCTCCTCCTCCTCCTCCTCCTCCCCCTCCTTCTCCTCCTCCTCCTCCCTTTCCTCCTCCTTCTCCTCCACCTCCTTCCCCTCTGCATCCCCGTCCTCCTCCTCCTCCTCCTCCTCCTCCTCCTCCTCCTCACTCTCATCCTCCTCCTCATCCTACTCCCCCTTCTCCTCCGCCCCCTCCCGCCCTGCCCCGCGAGAGCTTGACGGGGGGCGGCCCGTGCCCCTCCGAGGCTCTGCCGCGCGGGCTAGCTACGAGCAGTTGCCCCCCGTGCGCGCGGAGCGGGCCGGGGACCACCGCCTGGCCGACCTTCTCGACGCCGAGTACAGCGCAATGCACGCCGAGGATCGGGGGGGGTTAGGAGGAGGAGGGGGGGGATAGGAGGAGGAGGAGGAGGAGGAGGAGGAGGCGGAGGAGGAGGAGGAGGCGGAGGGGGGGGACTCGGGAGGAGGATGAGGGGGGAGGAGGAGGGGGAGGATGAGGAGGAAGGCGACTCTCGACCATTGTTTATCGTCCTGGTGCGTCTTCGGTTGTCAAGTCGACGGTGACGGTGAACTTTGAGCGAACATGCCCCTACATTCGGGTCTCCCAGATGCGGTCTGAGTAGACGGGGTCGGAGGATCGCGGCGCATCGCCGATGCATAGGCAAGAAGGGCTAGCCCGTACATCGGAGGCGAAGAAGATACCGATGCCGCTGCTCGTCCTGGAGGGTCCCCGGCGCCACGGCAGGCTTCTCCCCCAAACTCAGGCCACATCGCATTCTTTGAGAGGTGTGGGGAAGTGGCATCGATACGTTTATTTGGACCCCCCAGTACAGTCAATGCGACTAGTCAGGACGCGAGCCTTCGTCTAGGGTGCCTTTGTGTCCTTGCCTCTGCGGCCCGTCCTTTGCCGTTTTCACTGGTCGCCCGCCGCCCACAAATCACAGTTTCGGCCTCCAAGGGCCTTGCGTCCTGACCACCCATCCTTAATTCACGTTTTGACTGTACGTTTTGATTTGGCCCCCCCCAGTACTGTCAGCGGAGGAGGATGATGAGGAGGAGGAGGAGCCCTTCCCTCTCGAGAGGGCCGGAGTGGGGCCAGGTACAGGGGGGCGACGACTGGCAGGAGCCTCTGCTGGATTGCTTTGACTGCCGGTGCCGCCGCAGACGCGGCCCCCTTGTGGCGAGAGTTGCCCGCGCGGCAGCGGCCGCTGTCGGTTTCGGAAAGCACTTGGGCGACGAACAAAGCAATTGGTCCAACTGCGCCGACATTGGCGCGAACAGTGGAGGCCCATGCCAAGGAACAGCCTGCTTGCCTCCAGGGTGCCCTGGGTTTCTTGGGTTTCGATGGTTTTGCTATGACAAGTTCATGGGCGTCCTGGGGTCTCAAGGTTGGAGCTCTTGTGGAAAGTTTCTTGTGGACTAGCCTCCGCTGTGAGCTCCGCGCGTAAGGTCGCGCGTAAGCACCCTCGCCTCCAATGTGCAAAGGGGGCAAAAAAACACAGACACAATTAATCGTCGATTCCCCGGGGAAATGCAGGAAAATATGGGAAGTGGGCGGGGGAAGACAAAATCCCAGAACATATGGGGAAGTATGGCGGATCTTGTTATTTGTGTGTATTCATGTGTGTGCTTGGGCCCCTTGAAATGTAGCGTGCCGCGCCGGCGGCCCGCGTAAGCCGCCGCGTAACGTCGCTGTGTCATCTCGCGTAGGATCTTTTTTTGATCGTCGTTCATCTGTTGCCAGGCCCCCCCTCACAAGGTCATTTTCGATCCATTCGATCATATTCGACTTCGGCTCTGGCTTGCCCGATTCGATCTCGATTGCCGGGCGACCCGATGCGGCCCGATGCTTTCATAGTGCTGTTCCGCATCCAGGGGCCGCCGATCCGATTCGATTCCGACTCCGAGCCGAGGCGGTCTGATTTTACACACGTTCCGATCCGATCTGGTTTTCCGATATGATGCTGGCTGTTCCTGCCCACGTATCCTTCTGGGTGTGTCGACCGTCGTTTTTGTTTGTCTGGGTTTTCTGGGAGGGTGCCTTGTAGATCGTGGTCCCAGTCCTCTCTGACTTGATTTGTCTCGTCGGTGGCGGAATCGAATTTTTGTTTACAGGCTCGCTGGGGCATGCTTGAACAAAACACAAACGCGTCGTCTGGACGGCTTCCAGAACAGGTGCATCAGAAAGATCACTGGCATCAAACCGTCATGATTGTCCAGAGTACCAAACGCAGAAGTATTGACCCGTGCGCAGCACATGGATGCCAGTGCCCTGCTACCATACAGGCAGATGGTTTTGTTCGGCGACGTGCTGAACAGTTTGCTTCGCCATGCCACGTTCGCGCCAAATTCCTTCACGCCAGCGATTGCCGCTGGAGTGCGGCGCAGAGGTGCGCCGAGGATATAGCTAGCCCAAAACAAAAATGAAACAAACTGTCGGCACTTTCGGCAGTGTTCACGCGAGTGTAGAGGCGGCGCAGTCTGAATCGGGCTGGCAGCGCGCGCTGCGCCATCACAGCTTGCCACTGCGATTCTATAGGCTTACGCTACATCCGCCGACCCCTTATATACACGATTGCGCCTCCAGCACTGCATGTCGCGAGGCTTGTCTGAATCACGACATGGCGTTCGACGTCATTCCTGTTGCTTCGTTGCTGTTATCGTACCTCTCGGTGCTCTTTTGTGGCTTCTTGGAAGCATGTTGGCCTGTGCGCAGGCCATACCCGGCCGTCTCGAGGCATCTTGGGCCAAGTTGTGGGGCCTCTTGGGGGTTTCTTGGAGGTTTCTTGGAGGCCTTTGGGGTTATCCTGGGGGTCCGTCAGGGCCTCCTGTGGTGTTCTTGGGGCAGGCTGGGGGCGTCTTGGGGCCGCGGGCTTGCGGTGCCCTCGGGGCTCCCTGTCGGAGCCGCCTGGGGACCCTCGCGGGCTGTCTTGCGGGCTTCGCGGGTTGTTTTTGGACCCACTTCGACCACTCGTGGGGGCCCCCATCGGCCGCCCAGGGGCGACATCGAAGGTTTCTTCGCCCATCTTGGCCGTTGTGCTGCTACTTTTTTTGCAATTGGAATGGGGCGATTGTTGTTTCTTGGGGCCCTCTTGGGACGCATCTAGGGGGCCTTGTGGGGCGTCGTGGCAGCTTCGGAGGCCGTCTGGGGGCCATCGTGGGCGTCGACGAGCGATATTTCGGCGAATCGCGGCCCTTTGGGACCGTCGGGGTGGCGTTGCGGTGCCTTCTTGGCCCGTTTTGGAGCCTTCCGCTCCCCCGTGACGCGCTCGTCCGGGGTCGCGCCAGGCCACTGGAGGGGCGGGGTCAAATTGCTGGTCTGGGGTTTTTTAGGTTACGGGGGGGATAGTCTCACGCGCCAGGAGACCCATCGGGACCGGCGGATTATCCAAGTGATTTTGTCCATGGTATTTTCCGCGCCCCGTCTGTCCTTGCACCGCCTGGTGTACGACTCGGAAGGAAGGAGCGAAGGAGGGGGCCTCGTTCGGGTGTGGCTAGATGTGGTCCTGGCCCAAGGTGCCCTTTGCACTTCGCGCCATTTTGGGCCCCCTGGGGGCTCCCTGATTATGGTGGGGGGTGCTCTGGAGGTCACGTGGGTTTCCCCGGGAATCGTGGGGACACTTTGAGCCAGGGACACCTCTGGCAGCACCCAACTCGTCGCCGCGACCAGATTCGCTTCCGAATCCTGTTAGGAACGCCCGCAGAGCTTAGACGCCCCACGCCACGTGACTTCAGCGCCAGATCTCCAGTGGCATCGCCCCCCTTTCTGAGAATTTGCCAGAGTCTCGTTAGTCTTCCCATATTACCTGGACGAGTCTGAACACGCGCGCGGTATCAACATGTGGCCCGACAGCGGCAAGCGCGCCCCTGGCCCAAAACAAACATGTAAATAGTTGGCGCCCATGCGAGAACATGATTCCCCAGGTCGTATGTGACGATTTCTCAAGCATCAGCCAGGAAGGTCATACCTGAATGCGCGTTGAGGCTTCCATCGAGAAGAGGAGTAGGAGTGTGAGGGGCAGGACCAGTAGGACGGAGAGGGGCGAGGACAATCAGCAGGACAATGCTTAGCAAGAGCATGGTGAGGAGACGGAAAAGGAAGACAAACAAGACAATGGGGAACACGAGTTTACGAATAAGAGTTATTTGCGGACGAAAGAGCAGGAGGAATGGAGAAGGAGTGCGTCGGAGGAGGAGGAGGTGGGGTTGGAGGGGGAAGGGCGGGATAGAGGACGACGTGTTGGATGACGACGACGACAACAACGACAAACGCGACGACGACGACGACGACGGCAGCGATGACGACGGGGGCGCAAGCCGATCAGGAGCAGCAGGAGGACGGAGTTCCGGACGTCACGCCAGCTGTATTCGGGGCCAGCTTGTCCATAATAGCGCTGTTGAAGGGAAGCTGAATTGTGGCTGAAAATGTTTTCCGAGTGTTTCAGGCCAAACGGGCCAGACCACCTCGCGCGCGGCACCTGGCAACCTACAGTTGCAAGGACGTCTCAGGCGAGACGGACCAGACCACTTCTGCGGCGACATCCAGGGGCCCAATGTCGCAGGAATTTCGCAGGCGAGACGAGCTGGACCACCTCTCGCGCGACATCTGGAACGCAGAGTCGCAGGCGGGCGAGACGGGCTGGACCACCTCTCCTCGCGGCATCTGGGAGCCCAGAGTTGCAGGCATTCTCCAGGCGAGATTGGCTGGACCACCTCTCCGCGCGGCATCTGGAAGCCCAGAGTTGCGAGAATGCTTCAGCGAGGCCGAGTGCACCACTTCAGGCTTGAGGTCAAGCGTGCCAGGCTCTTGGGCCCCCCGATGCAGAACAATTCGATAACAGAAATGTAATACAACTTTAGGCCACTCCTTGTCTTTTTCCTCCCTTCTCCCTGTTGGAGCCCAGCGTTGCGAGGATGGCTCAGGACCAATTCAATCCCGGCCATATCGGAGCCCAGAGTTTTGATGATGTCTCAGGCGAGATAGGCGGCGGCGACACCACCTCGCGCGCGGCATCCCAGAGTCCAGACGTGCGAGGTTGTCTCAGACGAAACAGGCCAGACCACGTCAATCCTTGCCATCTTGGAACCTGGCGTTGAGAAAATTTCAGGCGGAACTGGACGGACCATCTCGCGCGCGGCATCTCAGAGTTCAGACTTGCGAGGAGGTCTCGGGCGAAGGTGGCCAGGCCATGCCAATTTTGGCCACCTCGGAGCCTAGATCGAGTTGTGAGGATGTCTCAGGCGAAACTGGCCAGACCACCTCCATCCGAGCAAGTGTCGGAGCCCAGAATCGTGAAGATGTTTCAGGCGAGACGGAATGGCAGTTGGAAGCCCAGAGTTGCAAGCACTTCTCGGGCGAAA